TTATTCTGTAAATTCACAATTTAAGTTAACCAGAGTTCCAATCCCTAAGGTTAGAAAAGGCATTTAACAGGATTAGATCAATGAATAAGTAAAAAAAAGACAATTTGTCCCTGAATAAGAACAACAGTCAAGCTGTGCAAGCGGAGTCGTAACTCCGGAAGACAACCTCGTAAATGCTTAAGTAGTGGTAAACGCAGAGCCCCTTCGCACCATCCTCTGATTTGATTGATCTTCGTAGCGCTGGGCCCTCTACGTTTTTACAGACCGACGTCAGAGGAAAATGAGGGAAAAAAAACAGGGAACATAATTAATTACTTTATTTGGACATTAATGACCCGGTCAAAGAGGACGAGGGTTGATTAGTGTGTTTTCTACAGACGTGCTCTGATACGGTATTCGTTAAGTGAAAACATTCCATTATTAAAATACGACCTGTCAGTTGTCAGAGATGTCAGCTGTCAAACCATGTCATTTGATTGTACGCCGCCGTGTAGCTGAATAACGGGAGAAGAACTTCCTCTCCACAGGAAGTTTTTGAGGGTAAATTAAGTTTTGTCTGTAGAAGCTTTACTCATATAAATATCGAATTGTTCATGGAAACATTAAATCTATGTGGGTTATCATAAAAAAAATGTAAGATTTTTTGACATGATAAGCTTGTCTCAAAAAACATTTTATAGAAACGGTTACTCAGTGTTTTTCTTCAATATTTTTACAGAAAGAGGTGCTCGCTAAACAACACAAAGAGAGGACATAAAAAAAATACTTTTAAAAACGACTCGCCATTTCGCCGATGGGTTCCAAATGAATATTCACAGCGACAAAGAAGAAGGGGTGTCACAAAAATGCCACTGCCTAAATTTTCGCTCCGAAAAAAAGGTGGCAGAATCGCAAAACCATAAAATAGCAAATAAATAAGCGACGCAGGGACACGTCCCTGTTTAATTATGAATTAAGGCCCGACTGTAACGAGATCACAATGTAATTAAGATTACTGCGGCGAGGATTTTTTAGGTCGTCTCTAACAAGGTCGGTAAAATGTACCTACTTGCTACTACTAACATATTTACCTTAGTGCACCTGTAATTACTTATTTCCTTTTATACTATTTTGGTGGCAAGTAAACATACGGCCCGTTTGATAGCAAACGGAGTTACCGTAGCCTACCGTACCGTACCGTAGTACCGTACCGGAGTAACCGTGGACCCTGTAACACCAGGAATGTCATGCGCGTGTTGCAGACTTTATATACATCATAATGTTTTTATAAATAAAAATATTGTGTAAAAATTAAAATTAGATAATTCAATATATAGTTATATCTATAGAATATTATTCTTCTGATGTTTCTAAATAATAGATGATTTACTTTTTAAATTTGTTTTATTTTTCTAATGTAAGAGCTGTGACATAATGACCGGTGACAGAAAAAATAAACTGCCCGCGGGAAAGAATAAAAAAATGGTACGTTGTCGACGAGATGCTTCATTTCGACTTCATTTACGTAAATGATAACCAAGGACGAAATTATTCAAAATAGATAGCTTTTTCTACCTTTTAGTACTAAAGACATTTGATATTGAAAAACGAAGCGATCCTGTAAAGAAGGCGTCTATTATATAATGATGAATGAATATGTTGGTTGAAAACGAAAGATGTGTTTTTCATTCCATTATTTTGATTATTATGTTATGAACTTCTTAACAGAAATTACTCAAGTTAATAGTTATTAAATCAAACTTTATCAACTACATTGAAAATAGAATTCATCATCCCATCCAGCCGTGAATAAAAAATTAAATCTATTTTAAGTGATGATGAACATGATAACAACATGTCTCATGGCTCACAGAATTCTTGAAAGGTAAAAGTTCCATTCGTAGCTCCTATAAGGTAAGTTTCAATTCATATTTATAGTAAAAATGTAAAAAACAAACTTTTTTACGGCTTGTGCCATTAATAAATGACTACAGCTCAATTATTGTCGCTAGTCATCACAATTATCTAGAAGGCTTTATAAATAAAGCCTTGTTTGTATAAAGGCAAACAAAGTGCACATGTAAAACACGCTCGTATTTATGTAAATACGTGATGAAACAACTGTCCAACGGCGCACCCCAAAACTACGACCTTGTTTATTTTTTTACAGTTACTTGTGTGTTGATTGTTTCCTATTTCAGTTAGTTCTACTACAAATAACGCTCATAGTTAGCCTTACAGAAAAACCCCCTTTTTTCTTATTTGTAATTATAAACTAGTTTTTTACCCGTGCTTTAATAAAAATTTTTTTTTATTCACCGAATGGGATAAAATGTAGGAAACAGTTACGTAGTTTAATCGTTTCCTTCAGTTTTACAAACTACACACAGTTGTGTTAGAATCAAAATATTTTATATGTTAATCTAGAATATGGCCCATTTGTGTACCAAGTTTAATTTATATCTCTTCAGCCCTTTAAAGGCGATTGAGTAACAAATAACTTTCACAAAACATTAGTAAAATTTTGGATGACGATACGTATATACATGCTATTGAGCTTAAAAGGACGATACCATTCATTTCATATATCTTGCCAAGTTTATTGATTTGGCCAACTTGGTTAGCTTTACAGTTTCCCAATATGCTTACCCAGAAAAGTACCAGTACCATAAAATGTATTTTATAACTATAATTAACATTAATAGTAAAATAACTTTACAACAATAATAGACACAATTTATTATATATATTTTAAAGATCTGAATATAAACATAAATATTCAGCAGATATATGAAATGATCATATTCTGATTTGAGCTAAGTGGTTCTTTTAACCACCTTAATGATACAGATGGGAAGTACGCACTTTATAAATAGTAGAATATTTGAGTTAACTATATAAATGTTATACAAATGAATATAAAGTAATTAAAATAAGTTTTGAATTTGTATCTGTAATAAAATGGTAGGGGACAGTCAAATTTGTATTTGTTTTGTATTTTTTATGGAAACAAAAGTCTGATGATGGAACAGGTGGAGGTTACTAATGCATATTAGTAGTTCAGTCGAGTTTGTACTAATTTGTTATCTTGTCATGGGCACTGAAATCCTATGCTAAAAGGTTTCTAAAAGCTTGTTTTTTAAAGTATTTTCAACATTACACCTACATGTAATTTCAGGTAGTAAATTGTAATAATAAGACATTCATGTAAGTTTTCAACTAAAACAATCCTCGTTACAAGTCAAACGTAGTGATTCACCTTCTCGCTGATAGCAACAATAAAAATGATGTGGTAATTAAGTTACACAAAGATAATTATTTCAAAATGTACAAATTCAGATAATGTACAAACCTCTAGACAAAATTAAGAATTCAATCTAACTAGAGTTTGTCTGAGATTACTTCGCAAATATGCGAAAGTTATATGACATAAGTTGTGCACTGACGAAAATAAAACAATCTTGAAGTTTACTCGAAGCCATAATTTAGTTTACAAAGTGAAAATAAACAATACCAGAAAACATATTGACTTAATGTCATACGTTATAACCGGATAGAAAATAATATCTTGTTGCAAACCTAATAAATTACCCCCAGTGAAAGGAGAATGTTCAACAAAGTAAGATAATGGAAGTTCTTTTGATGTAAATTTATCTCGTGTTTTCAGAATTGTACAAGAGTATCCGTTTATGTTATTTAAAAATAAACATTGAAACATACATTTGATATTTACATTAACATTTGTTAGCATATTTTTATGAAATTACAGTACGACTTATTATATTTTTTATTCAGCAAATATGCCAGTACTAATACGCTTTAATGACAACGTTCATTCTATATCATTTTTTAAATTTATTTTATTAATATTAAATTATAAAATTCGACAGAAACATAATCTAAAGTCCTAAAATAAGCATATGATATCGTACTACTGATACGTTGTCACCAAAATTTCACTCGTAAAATCTTTTGGTAGATTCTATCACATTTTAATAAAGGAAAATCTGTTGAAATTGTCAATCAGGGAAATCTTAGGGAATTCATTTGTCGAAAATTAACAATTCAATTTTGAATCAATGTATTACGTAAAAATTCATTCAATATCGCCAGGTCAGAGTAGAGATTAATAAAAATTTGGCCCTCGAAGCCTCTGGGGAAGCCCCTTTATGGCACGTTGGCTTTTTATGAGGGACCTTTTATTTTAATACTTATTTCGGTTTCGCGATTCCGTCGTTATACCGTTTCGTAGCGATTAATCGCTTTTCGATTAATTATGCCACCGAAGAAGTGCGTTGTAGAGGATTAAAATAGCTAATTATATATTAATATTTCAATTCAGATCACATACTTCAAAATTTTTCTTCAAATGCAAAAAAAAAAAAAGATTTTCAGATAGTTTATTGAATGTAAGACAAAAACTCCATGTAGCCTTAAGTCGACTTTAAGAAGAGTAATAGGTTATTTATTCTGCAGAAGGCACCGTTTTGATGAGTTATAGGTGTACATGACTCCTGAGACTAAACGATTTATCATGGAAGCTTTACGGGAACGTATCACGTACACACTACTGCACTGTATCAATGAAGTTCATTCATATTGATATATTGAGGTTAGTTGTAGAAAAATGTTAGAAGTAAAATGTCATTTATATACTTTATACGTTATTTTTCATAATACTTGTAGTATTTGCAACAAATCCGCGGACGAGATTTGTATATTAAATATTAATTACAAATATATCAATGAGAATCCAGATATAAATATTGATGAATTTCCAAGTAATTCAATGCAATTTTGTTTCACAATTTTACAGGTCAAATTGTTTAGCATACTGGAGATGAGAGTAATAATAATTGTTTACAATTATAATTAATTCGAGAAACTCAGTGCAAGTGGGGTCAGTTTGTGTATAACTATCCCACTCGTATTTTTAATATGTAATAGCTGTGCTCATATGACTATTTCGGTGAGAAGGGTGTAATATAATAATGTACAAAGGTATGTATACATAATCTTACCTTCTTGGCAGCTGAGTCCTGGTTGTTGTTGTCGGCGTGATGCGGAGCGGCGGGCGCCATGACGGTGACGCCACTCTGCGAAAGAAGCTCGTCGGAGCCTCTCTGTAACAATGATATTTTTAATATTTATTTAATTGCTAATAATATTTCGTACGAAATTTTTGCATAGGTCTCTGTCTTAGGCACTCGTGATTATTAAAATGACAATACACACACACACACACACACACACACACACACACACACACACACACACACACACACACACACACACACACACACACACACACACACACACACACACACACACACACACACATATATATTATATTATATTTGCACAATACATTTAAACAATTGAATCCTTAAATGGTACAATATAAAAAAAATCTATATTTTATTGATATACTAGTAACTTATAATCAGTGAGATTTGGGAAGGAGAACACAGAAAAATATATTAGGTTTAGTTCGCAATATATTCAAATATTTTTATCAATGATCATTTTCGCGCAATATATATACGTCATACATGTCAGCGTATCAAGCAGGCGGCCTTAAGACAGCAAATAACAAAAAAATAAAACAAAAATACAATTTCGAGTCACGTCAGTGTAAACGTCAACCTACCCTTCCCTGGGATCAATCTCAATTTAAGACGCGAAATGACAGACCTCAGCAGTTAAACGCACCGGGCGAAGGTATAAATCACCCAGCGTAATAAAGCAAATGTACAAATGACATGACGTAGAATAACAGTAGACTATACGTGAAGCTCAAGCCGCGGATTTCGTATCGCGAATATCACCACACCTGCCACACCTTACATATCAGTCACAGGAGACACTTAATAAAGCCAGAACGCATCGTTCTTGCTTCCCCCGAACACTTTCAATAAAATGACAGAGTGATACCCGACATGCTGACGCGGCATTGTCGTCTCTATCAACACAAACATTGCAATAACTTATTCACTCAACTACCGTTAGCACTTTCATCTATATGTTATACGAATTTAATACTATCGATTCTCGCGGCAAATGGTAAGTTGAACTTAAATAATCCTGCAGTGTGAATATTTATCGATGGATTACAATAAATAACAGGAGAGCATATTTGTAATTTACATAATATAATAAAGAGTAGATTTCGCTAACAGCGGGAATCCCATTTTGTGGCATAAAGCTTTCATTGTAAAAAAAAGAACCGCTTCTCCTGAAATAAAACCAACATCCGCGGGGTCCTATTCCTTGGAGTAATTTCGTAGAGCGCGTGTAATAATTGCCTGAAATTAAATAACATTTTTCACAACAAAGAAACAACAAGGATGGAAATTTTGGAGCAGAACGTCGGATTGCGTTGGATAACAGGGCAGTTTTCGTTTCCATAATAATTTTTCAAGTTAATGAAGAATGATGTTGAATACCTTCATTATGAGGATGACGACGACGATTATTAGTATTATTCTATAACCGTTTGGAAAGTGTAAGGAGATATTAAACATTTAAGCGTAATTACCAAGATTTTACACACAACTATTAACACAAGTACTAGTTTTTTCTCTTGACATTGTCAGAGGCCTAGATATGTTGATTGATCAGAATAAAAAGTAGCTTATTTCCTTGTCGATATTAATTATAACATATATGCCAAATTTCATGATAAGTCATTGCTTCCAACCATACTAAAATGGTGTCTGTAATCATTATCAATACAGCCGTTATCTGTTTACAGCTAAACGTATGTAAAACAAATTCGAAATTAAAAAAGTTGGACTTATTTGGTGAAGTGAAAGTAGAGAGAAATATTATATTATATAGGTATTATTAATTTAAAGTTATTACATTTACTAGCCTGTTAATATTATAAATATGAAAGTTTGTTAGATGTTTATATCTTTACTACTCAAACACACTTAAACGGCTAAAACGAATTTAAAGGAAACTAGCTCTCGGGGCTCCTATGTGTATCAATACTTTCTATGTGCTAAGTTAGGATATAACCTACTAAATTTCACACAAATTCGTTCAGTAGTTTTTGCATGAAAGAGTAACAACAATTGTCCATCCATTATTACAAACATTCGCATCTATAATAATTAATAGGATTTTGTAGACAGATAACCCATATTTCAGAATAATATATTGGGTACGTATTATTTCAATTCATGCGGGTAATGTCACAACGTACTAGTAATTATAAATAATAACCAAAAACATGACATCAAAATATTTTACTGACATTGATTTGTAAAACAAAGATATCAATTGAATCAATCTAATGGACTATTTATAACGTCAGAAGATTGTAAGTCAATATTTATTCGTGGATAGAAATCCACATATAATAAATATGTTAAACTAGACTAGCAAAATCAATTCCCTATATTGGCCCTTTGTTGGAAAGTACTTTGTTTTCTCTTGAAAGAATACTGTAGATCTTTTCTCGAACAGGACATGCTCTTCGTGTTTCTTCAATATGTCATTTGAATGAACGTGATTCGAGGGTCTCTCATATCAAAATATCGGGAATAAAATTACATGAAAGGTTTACTTAGATCAGAAGAGCGAGTCCCGTCCCTTTTTGAGATACACCACGGACGCGGAATGATATGTTTACGTGGTCAAAGAGGAATATCAAGGTCCATTGTCGAGAATCAATACGGATAATCTATTAGTGATATTAAAATGTCCCATGGGACATCGCAAATAGATGGAATAAATAGATTTTATTGTTGTTCGAATAAGTGAGTCCATTCTTTGAATTGTTGGGTGAATATGAAGTACCTAAAGTATTATTGGAAATCTGAGGGAATAGGTTTAGCTGTTTGTTATATTATCACATATTAACAGAGAATAGAATAGAATCAATATATAACAATATGTGACTAAATAAATATACATTTCACTTATACAGTAATTATAAAAAGTTTCTTTACAAGACGCCTATAAACACTTCGCTAAAACTTTTTTTATTGCTTGAGGGAATTTTTATTCTTGACAATACAAATATTTAATATTATAGATTCGTAATTTTGTATGCTAATGGGTTTTCCATAGTATTATACTATTAGTATTATACTATTTGCCACACCGAAAAAAGGTTTGCTTAAAAAAAAATTAACAGATGACTGGTTGTTTTTTATGACGTTTTTTGGTCCTCGATGTGTCATCTAAATGTAGCTGCAACTACTATGGCCATGATTTTACATTAATAGCAGTTACTTGAGTCTGGCAACGCATTATCTGTTAATTTTTAAAAAATATTAATCAATTATTTAAAAATTGCTCTTACAATGAACTAGAAAGTTAAAGTTTTTGGAACTTGGTAGAATTTGGAATTCATCTTCATAAGGAATAAAGTATTTTATCTGTAAATTGAATATTTTTATTTTTTCTTTTTTTTATAACAAAGAGAATCCAAAAAAAAAAAGCCGCGAGCAATAGCTTGTAATAATATACTGTGCATATTTTTTATTCTTAGTAAAAGTATCAAAAAGGTCAATAATATCCTCTTAAATCTTCCAAATGTTAGTAGTATCAAAACTTTAGTAGGTGTCGAGTTGTGACCACAGGGAAAACCTTTATTGATTGATTTGTCGCCCTTGTGAACCCTTACATAGAAATTCAGAGAGTGCGAAAGTCAAATTTGGGTCGGAAGAGTGATCGATGTGATTTTAAGGAGGTATATTTGAACAGCCTGAATTGATAAAATCTACGGATATTTTATTATTCTACATATTTACAACATCTGTTATATTTCAAACTCATATACAAGTATAAATGTACAAATTATAACTACATTAACTCTTTTAAAATGCACCATTAAAAATGGTAAAAAAGATTTAGCTTAAATAAGCAAAAACTACTAATTTAAAATTAAATTTAGTAACTTTTGACATACGTTACCGGAAAAGAACATAAGTTTTAAAAAAATCGAGATAGTTTTTTTAGTACACAACTCCTCAATATTAACAAATGCAAAAGGAGGATTACAGGTTTATCTTAAATTTTTGTTTAGTACTGAAAGCTTAATATGAACAAATTCTTTTTTGAACAATACGACACGTTCTAATTTTCTATTAAAATTAAGATACTTTCATCATCTACTCGTATTATTGAGATGTTATAAAAAATAAAGTGTAAATATTTTTATTTCATTTTAACCAGTAACATATCCAAATTTATAAAACATGTATATTAATATAACAATTTATATCCCATAAGATATATCGTCAACTAGTCCCTAAACCTGATTCACGCGATTTTTATGAAGGCTGTAAACGATCGTCAGCTCACTATCGATGTCATATGAAATATTTATGCGCCACTAACACTCTTCAGAAGATATTAATCGATTGACAATTGTAAAGGTCCATATAACAGATAAACCTAACCTTATATCGTCTTCCATATAGGATGCAATATAGAGACATTTTAGTGATACACGTAATTGTTACCTAATTACATATTAATATTACATTGTCACTCAAAACACGCAGTTATTGTAAAAAAGTAAATAAGTAATACGTATACAATAAATATGCCATCTAATTTATCGAAGCAGTGCAAAAATTATTAACTTACAATAATATATATAAATCTGTAAATTTTAAAGTACTAAACTGATTTCACAACGAAGAAAAGTTTTGGAATCCACCAGAACACAAAATATCGAATTCCATGTAGGAAATTATGTAAAATTTCTTTTTTTCTTCATCTGATTACCAGTTTACATTCACCTACTCGTATTGATGAACCATTGTCTTGTATTAACGGTATTACAGATCTATGCGATATCGTATATCTCTTTGACTGGTTGTTTACTTGAATACCTATTTATTAATGTATTTCGATATCTATATTCTTCTTTCATCAGTCTGTCTAGCTGAATATCCGGGTTATCTCCGATGTTATTTTTATGCGATTTTCAAAAGAAGTAATTTTTTTGTGTAATTCTATGATCTCCTACCGGAGATTGGCGATCATCATGGCGATCGTTACTTTGTCCACCGTCATTCTGAAAAGGGGCCTGGTGCTCATTCCGAACGACTTCCCCACCGTCTTAAATTTTTTAACCATGAGTATTTTGTTTTGTATCATG